CCAAGTCTTTAATAGTTCTCTGGTAATTTCCTCACCAAACCAGAATCTCCAAATGTAAATACCTCTGGGAAAAACAGTGCTGACTTTAATCCACATTAGAGTAAATCATAGTGGAGTAGTAAGTAAGCCAATCTTTTAGATCTGCTGCCTGGAGCAAGTTTTGGTAAAGGAAACAGTAGCTGAATGAATTCAGGGGGCAGCTGTGGAGCTAAAACAAAATAAATCTGAGGAAAAGCAGGGGATTGCAGGGTGTGGCCCAGCAGGCCCAGGACAGGGCTTATGTGGTAGAAAAAGGCATTTTTATCTTCTTTGGAGTCTGTGTATCATCCGAACTAGTTCTGGACAAGGAGGCTGCTTCCATGTCTGAGAAGGTGGCTCAGGGCCATGGTGCTTTGCTCATCTAGTTTCAACAAATTTTATTAAATGAGAAATTCTGAATAACAGATGCCTTCACAAATCTCCATCCCTGCCAGACTCCATCTCTTTAATGAAAACATCATTGTTGTGTATTTATCATTTGTTGTATAATTACATTTTTCTCTTTGAGACAGAGTCTCCAGGCTGGAGTGCAATGGTGCGATCTCAGCTCACTGCAGCCTCTGACTCTGAGTTCAAATGATCCTCCGGCCTCAGCCTCCTGAGTAGCTGGGATTACAGGCATGTGCCACCACGCACAGCCAATTTTGTATTTTTAGTAGAGTCGGGGTTTCACCACTAAAAATCAGGCTGGTCTGGAACTCCTGACCTCAGGTGATCCGCCCATCTCAGTCTCCCAAAGTGCTGGGAATAGAGGTGTGAGTCACTGTGCCTGGCCACATAATTATATTTCAAAGCAATAGAAGATTCAGAGTCAAGTCCATGTTTCCCTATCTACTTGAAGGCAGTGATGCTGGGGGACTGGGAGAGGGTAGTTCCTAGGAGACTAGAGAACTAGCTAGAGCAAGGGACACAGTGCCAAAACAGGGAGGAGAGATCCAGGTGGCAAACATCTGTAAAGGAAGGCCTCTCTGGACACCAGAGCTATGAACCTCCTCTTAAACCAAGTTAGAATTCAGGCCAGACAATTGGGCCACGGCCCAATCACCAAGATCTCTGCTCCTTTCCTTAGTGACTGCACCAAGATAGAGAAGGCATGAGATGTCTGAAGAGTATCCTATACAATTTCCACGAAGTTCTTTATTTCAATGTGCATGAGATGTCTGAAGAGCATCCTACACAATTTCCATGAAGTTCTTTATTTCAATGTTATGTAATTAATTTGGACTCAAGCTCTGGGATGGCCAGCTCCCAAAGTTCAATCAGGTGTCTTTGCAAAGGTATTGAAGAAAGGGGCCAGGCGCAGTGGCTCACACCTGTAATCCCAGCGCTTTGGGGATTCTGAGACCAGCTGGGGCAACATGGCAAAACCACATCTCTACAAAAAGTATTAAATAAATAAATAAATAAATAAGGAAACAAGCCTCATACTGCTACAGGAAAGGGGGAAAAAAAAACAACAAAGAAAAGGATGGCCAACTGTGCAAGTCTAGAGTAAGTCACCTTGAGAGGCTGGTGGTGCACCATCTGCACGAGAGAAGGAACTGGAACTGTGATTTGCTGTCCTAACACAGCTGCCGTTATGGCCACTAGGATTTGTCCCCTTGAATTTATCTTCTCCTCCCCTTGACCTGGCCAATTGTATAACCATTCCTTCCATTCATTAGCTCAGGTGTAAGAGGCTCGAGGGAAAAATAGTGTTCTGAAACTCAAAGCCACTATGCTGCTGGTTCATTCCCCAGGAAACACAGACGGTGGAAATGCAGCAGCCAAAACTAGAAATTCCAGGATTGTCTGTCGCTTTCAAAGATCTGGGCCCTGAGAAGCTGATGTCAGCCACTGGGTGCACCGCTGCCTCACCTTTGGTTTGAGCCTCAGAGCTCTAACTGTTGCAATCCAGAGCTCCTTCCCACTATCTCTGAGATGACATCTAGAACTTAAGAGTAGCCATTTAACTACAAGATCCACAGAAGGCTTTGACATGTTGTGAGTACACAAGAAGAATTTCAATTGGCTATTCTCTAGATGATAAGTGCATCTTGATACTAAACCGATAACAAGGATAATTTCTCTTCCTATGGAGGTTCCTGGGTTGAGGCTGATTTCCACTAGGCACCAATTACTTAAAGGGCACACCAGAAATAAAAGGCCTTAAAAAGACCTGAGAGTACTACCCAAATATATGGCTTGCCATTTGCTTAAACAAAGCAAAACACCAGATCCCAGAGGGCCCACTCTCCAATCTACTGAGCCACCTTTTCAGCACAACTTTTCTGCAAAGGGGGCAGATAGCAGACTTTATCCAGGGACAAAATTGAGAACACTACATTTCATAACAAGAGAAAAATCTAACACATTTCCACAATTTCTTTATTGATAAAAGTCAAGAATATATTGAGTACAATTTTTTTCTTTTGTAATGAGATCTGCTAACGAGACAAGTGGAATTCTTATTTTTGGGGGAATAACATTTCATGTCATTGGGATTCAAAGTCAGAGTTCCAGAGCAGCAAACTGACTGCCATGTTTACATGTACAAATAATTCTCGTACAAACAGAAGCAGAGAGCTCAGTTACAGTTTGGTGATCGCTGTGGTACTCCTGTGACCAGGGGTGGAGCCCAGGAATCTGCATTTTACATGCCCCTAGTTATGGGCCACGTTTGGGATCCAATGGACTATCCAATCCTTGAAGTCTCTGTCCACCAAAGAGGCCTGTGGTTTTACAGTGTGAGAACCCAGCTCTGCCACCTACCAGTTGCTTAACCTCTCCAAAATCAGATGATTCATCCTCACAACAGGGATGGCATTGCACTGCTTGGCCTACCCTGAAAGAGTTGCTGGGATGATTAACTGAGATGATCCAATGAGGTGTCATGAGTATACTATGTCCCAGACATAAAGACAGGCCAATTATGTTGAGTTTTTTGGCTGCAGATGCAGACTGCCTGAGCAGCTCCTGCTCATCTTCTCCTTACCTAAAATGTGTCCCCCAGCACCTGAAAGGCCGATCCACTTCAACCTAACCAACGGTGATGTGCAAACTCAGTGCATGGCTTCCCCCATAAAATGATAATCCAGAGCCCCTGGTTCGGAACCTCCTGGCCTTCTAATATCTTCAACCAGGATGCTTGCTATCCACTCTTCATTTCAGTATCTTCAATAATAGGAAACTCTTTCTCTTTCTCAGGTGGCACCACTCCAAAGCTGGAGAAGAAAAAGCTCTTCCTTACAGCATCTTAAGGAAAAAGGGTGCTGCTTCAAAGGAGGCAGTACAGAGGTTGAGTATATAAGACTGGCTGAGTTTGAATCTTGGTTCTGCCACTCACTGGTCACATGATAACTGTATGCCTCAATTTCCATATGCACAATGATGATAATTCCTACCTCATAGAGCTGATGTGGGACTAAATTAGTTGATATGTGTAATCCACTTAGAAACGTGCCAGACACAGCCTGGTTGCTATGTAAGCATTAGCTAATATTGTTATCATCCTAAACCACGAAGGAGCTCAAAGTAATGGATGGAAGCACCCTGATATGTCTCGGAGACTAACACTGTCACAAAGACAGCATCTACTGAGGGCCATATCAAGCCAGTTTTGTCATCATTCACTATTAGATTATCCCATTTTACAGGTAAATAAACCAAGCTTCAAAAAGGTAGGTTAGGTTCACCAGCCCAAGGTCGCAAGGGCAGGCAAACGTATGCCACTTCCTTGTGGCAGGGAGAATTCAAACCCAGGTCTGTGTGGTTCCTAAGCCCATCATCTTCACCAAAGAGCCCCCAGACTCGAAACTACTATCAGCAGCAGAACTCAACTGACCATGACGATATGGGAACTCAGGCTCAATTTTCTGCCTGCGAGTTCCTGGTTGGCTTGCATGAATTGGAGTTAATATCATGCTACTTGAACCCAATTAGGCAGTAAGTCAGCCTGGAAAACATCATGCGATGTATTCCAAAGGTCAAAGGAAAAGCTGGCTTCCAAGGCAGCCTCTGGCGGACACTGCCATGCAAGTTATTCTCTGCACAGATACCAGAGTTCAGCTCGTGAGGTGCTTAACCAGCACCTATATCGGCTTTTTAAAAGTCCCAGAGACGCCAGCATCGGAGCACCCGACGCGACGAATTGCCTAGCTACAGAGTCAACAGCCAGAGAAAGGCGGTTTACTTTTTTCAAAAGCAAACCTTCATCCCTCTCTTTCGGTTTAGGATCTCATTACTATTGTAGCTGCCTCCCCGCAGGCAAAAATAAAAGAGGGAAGGAGCAGGTTAAGACCAAGTGGGTTCCCCTAGCCGGCAGGGCTCTACAACATCCACCTGAAACACGGAGCGCGACCTACCTTCTGGGAGAGCCCAGCCCGGGAGGGCGTTTCCCCAACGCATCGACAACTCTTCCCTCCCGGGGAAGAGGCTGCTGTCCTTGGCTTCAGTCAGGGCCACTAGAGTCGCGCCCACGACACCCCTCACCCCCGCCAAAAGAACCTCATATTTAATGTTCCCCTCACTCTATCACTTCCGCCGAAAAAGCAAACACCAGAGCGATCCGTGCGTCCTTAAGGCCACATTTAACTACGTCTCAACGCCTGCAGGAGGAACGGCGAAACCCCGGAGAGGAGGGCGGGGGAGGCAGGGAGCGCGCGGTGAGGGGGGGGGGGGGCACTTGCACAGAGGATCGTCGTCCTCCCGGCGCCGCTGCAGCCGTGACGCTCCAGCATAGCCTCAGGCCGTTGGCTCAGGGCGGAAACCCCCACCGGGGCTCAGAGCATAACTGGGGGACCCCAAAGCCAGCTCCCCCTGCCACCTTCACGCGGGAAACCGTCGGGGCGATGGCGCAAGACTTCGCTCCCCCCGCCCCCCACAGCGACAACAGCTACGGTGACAAAATGGCAGCCCGGCGCCCGGCAGTCGTGCCACAGGCGCGCAGGGCCCTAGCGGCCGCTCCCGCCCCCCAGTAACGCCTCGCCGCCCTTCGGGCTCAGCCCCGGGTGGACCTAGCCGTTAAAAACAAAAACAAAAACAAAAAACAAACAAAACATCTGGAGCTCGAAACCAGCCCGGGAAGCCGCGGGGCCCCCTCCGCGCGTACTGCACCCCCGCTGCCCGCCCGCCTGCGCCCCGCGCCCAGCGCAGCATGGAGCCCGGAGCCCGCATTCCGAGCCCCGCGCCCCGCGCCGGGGAGGAGGGGCGGGGCGTGCGGCGCGAGCCCCGGGAAACATGGCTGCTCGTCCTATTTCGGCGTCTCGGCATGGCCACCAGCTCCCGGAGCCCAGTTGGGAGAGGTGCCGAAGGTGGGTGTGCGGGGGACCCGGGGGCAGCGCGGCAGGGAGGGGCGGAGGGGGTGCGCTCCGGGAGCCATTTGTTTTAAGAACGTTTTAAAAAAAATACAGTTCCTCCTCCCCCACCCCTTTTGTCCCTCTTTCGCTAGCTCTCTCCCCCTCCCCCCCCCATGTGCAGAAAGTGCCCCCTCCTCCGCCACCCGCGCCCCACCCCGCCTCCAGGCAGGGGGCCGGCGTGTGGGCCGCGAGGCTGGGAGGTGAGGGGGCGAAGCGTGAGAAATCGCTCCCAGTTCGGCGCGCTGCGCTCCCCTCCCCAATGCACACACACTCGGGGAAGTTTAAAGAGCCGGTTCGACCCGCTTTCCGGATCGCTCCCAGGGGACCCGCGGCGTAGGTCAGGTTCGCCAGGCCAGCCGCGCCCCCACACCCACCCGCCGCGACCCCGGCCCTGCGCTCGGCGCCCTTCCCCCTCCGCACAGGGGGCTTCCGGAAAGTACGCGGGAAGACCGCGGCCCCCTCCCCCATCACCACACCCAGCCCCCAAACGCGAGGCGCCGGGTCCCGGTCGGGACCAAAGCTGCCGGAGAGAGGCAAACCGCCGGCAAATTGTGCGCGGAAACTCCGGCCTCCTCCGGCGGCGCCCCCTCCCCTCCTGCGGCCGCCCCCTCCCCGCCCTGCGCGCCATAAGGCACTCGCACGTCTCCAGTCCACAGCTGCGTTAAGGCGGGAGGGGGGAGACAAAAAGGATCTTGTTTTCAAAAGTCTCACTCAGGTCTGGGGGAGGAACTAGGGAAAAGAGGAAGCGAGGCCTGCCTTCGCCGGGATTTGGGTTTAACGGGCTGGAGGGGCCACAGGCCAGGGCACGGAGCTGCCCAAACTCCCAACTCCGTGGAGCCCGGGCCGCTGAGGCTAGGGGCGTCCTCCCGCCAGCGCGTCCCCGGTCTCCGCGAGGGGCCAAGAGGGGAGTCGGTCGGGGTCTCCGCCCTGGAGCCGCCAACTCGCCGAAAACACTCAGGTTCGAAAGCGAGAGTGAGGCAGAAATAAAAGCCAGCGTTCGAGTCACCCACCCTCACCTTCCCCCTCCTCGGGGGTGGGCTTTCGCTCGAGCCTAGCATTCCCACCCGTGTAAGTTTCCTCCGGCCGTGCTCCCGCCGCTGCCCAATCAATAACGGCGGCTAGCGGGCAAACTCTCGTCCTAGAGCTGCGTGTTTGCCATGCCCGCATAAACGTGGACCCAGCCTGTACCCACCACGGGCGCCAGCTCCGGGCAGCTCGCGTCCTGACAAAGTTTCCCGTGCCCATTTATTAAGCAGGCGCCGAATGGCTGCCGACGAGCCCAGCCCTGAGAAAGACGGGCCGGGGGTTCGAGCTGGGGGGCACCAGGGCCCAAAGGCTGGCATCTCGGGGAGGCCGGAAGGAGCTGGAGCGAGAGGGGACCGGGACGTAGCCTTTGGGCAACTTGCACCAGCGATCGCTGGAGGCTGGGAGGCGCGGGGATTATCTGTGCCTTAGCACGTTCGAAAATCCCTCCCCCTCCTTCTAATTTATCCTCCCTTCGGAAGGAAAGGAAGAAACATCAGCATCTGGCCCGAAGGTGGGGTGGAAAGAGTGAGGGAGAAAGAGGAGGAGAGGAAGGGAGGCAGAGAAAGGGAGGGAGGGAGAGAAAGGGCGCGTTCACGAACACTACAAAGTTACAAATATGGCTCCCCCGTCTCTCGCCTCATCACTGCAAAGAAATGAAGACGCACTTTAAACTCCGGCCATTCCCAACTCCGCTGCAGCCCCCTCCCCACGCGCTCTCCCCGGGGGCCTCGGCCCACATTTATCAGAAACTAAACCGGACTCGCAAAGCCCCAAACTTATTGTGTGTGCGAGCGAGCGAGAGAAAGGGAGGGGGGAGGCGCGGGAGGGGGGCGGAAGGGGGGGATACATTTATAAAATGTAAAACCCCCTTTTTTTGTTGTTAAATCCAGGAGGCAGCCCCTCTCCTCCTCCTCCCTCGTTAATCTTCCCCCCAGACGGAGTCACGGGAGCAGCGATCTCCGAGGGTGATTTCGCCTCATTCTCTCCGACCCAAACGCGTGCGCCCGCCGGCCCCCGATGGGTGCACACTCGCACGCACACTCTCGCACCCACACTCGCACACGCGGGAGCACACGCACAGGTAGTCACACACCAAGGGCAGCGGTGGCGGCAGCCGGAACATGCTCGGATGGCATTGCAACCCCCCAGCCTTGCCATTCGCCTGCAGTCCGACCCCCAAACCCACACCTCCCAGGCGCCCCCCATCAAAAAAAGTGCCTCCCCCCAGCGCGCACACACACACACAAAGTAGGAGAATGGACCGACAGAGATATTTTTGGCAAATGCTCACATCAGAGGGCGTCCTGTTCCGCAGCTCTAAATGAATCCGTCTGCCCATCTCCATCTCTCGCGCTCTCTCTCTGCAGAGGCTCCCGCGCCGGCGGATTTCAATCAATAAACCCCGAACCCACGGCCGCGCGTTTTAGGACTTTGAAGGCTCAACCAGCTCCGCTCGGTTCTCGAGCCCCCAGCACCCGCGGCGCACACTAACCTGATCGCCGTGGAGGCGGGATCTGCGGCCTCGCGGGCGAGCGGCAGCAGCTAGAGCCAATCGCCACCGAGGGTCTCCGGGCAACAGCCAATGGCAGCCGCGGCGGGGGGGGAAGGGACCAATGGGCGGGCTGCGCAGCCGGCCAGGGAGGCTCGGCCATTTGGTTGTGGTGCCGGAGACGGACCCCTTTAGATTTCGGGGCGGCTGAGGAGCGCGGCGGCTGCTCTGTGGCTGAGTGAGGGGGGTGGGCGGAATGGCGGGGGAAGGGAAGGTGACTGTGCCTCGAGGGCCAAGGCGCCCGGCCTCGCCAGCCCGCCGCCGCCTCAGCGTTCGGCCGGGGGCGGGGCCGCAGGTGCGTTCTACGAGGGGGAGGGGCGCGGCCGGAGGGATCGGGTCGGGGTCCCCGCCCGGCTTAGGGCTTCGCGGGGCGGCGCGACCGGGTTGCGGAAGGAGGCGGGAGGCCTGAGGTCCGGGGGGCCGCGGGCTGCCCTGCGGGAGGGCGGATGAAAGGCCTGGAAGGAGGGGAGGGGTCAGGGTGCAGTGCGGGGAGGGGCTCGTCGTGTCCCGGGTCCCGCGGGTAGCGCTGGGGAGCGTGGCTGCCCCAGCCACCCTCGCCGCGGCCGCCCTGCCCGCGCGCCCCTTCCCTCCGGCCTCGTCCGGGTCAGGTGGCCGCCATCGCCACCCTCGAATGCATAAGTCAATAAAAGCAAGATGCTTCCACTTTTGGATGACTTACCGCGCGGTCGCGACCCTTGCTACGAAGAGGCTTTTCAGTTTGCTGTCATGTAAGGTCAGCTTGGAAGACGGGATCACCAGGAGACACCCAAGATCTTGTTTAGGCAATAAATGAATGAAGATCATGGATTAAGATCTGTTGCTGGATATATAGAATATTAAAAGGTGTAAAAGGAGGGTGCTCATAACTCCTGGTTTTCTGGACCAAACATAATTTATGGGCTTTATAGACCTAGTGAAAGAGAACGGCGCAGAGTTTATTCTAATCGTCCACCTGAGTCATTTGGTTCTATTCGGGTTGCCAAGGAGGCTCTAACTGGAGCACTTTGTCCAGGTTTTTCGGCGTGCTTGCCTTGGGTATTTTTGAATCACACTAAGTTTTAAGAGACCTTAAAGCCCTGATGCCCACTGCGTTACCGACTTGTGGCAGTAAGTTGGCTGCCTGTAGCTGTTAATAAACCACGAGGATTGTCGTCAACAAGGACAGATACATCCTGATTTTACCTTTCCACACGACTGTATTTTAGTGTCTGTTTCTACATGTCTCCACTCATCCCCACACACCTCAAGGTAGTTTTCTCTTTCTGGATACATGGTGTTTATTTTTCAGGAACATGAGTTCAAAGGGGGAAATAAGTATGTATGTTGCAAAGTTTAAAATAATGTTACGTAGTACCAATACAGTTCCATTATTAGACGTATAAAGTTGAGGAAATAAGAAGTGACAGTGTAAATAAAACACATATAGAATGGTTACACTGGGGAAGAAGCTGTAGTAACTTAAATATTGCAACCTGATGGATCGCAAGCTTAAAGCCCTGGAACTAGGGATTTGACTTTTCAGATAAAGTGATAAATGAAATTTGAATTCTGATGTTTACTCTGAGTAGATGGGAAATGCAACATAAAAGTTAAAAGTCATCGTTTTATTTCATCTGGGTGTAAATCATAATTTATTTAAATTGTTGACTTAGTGGTCATCCTTAGATTTTGTTAATCTTATTGAAGCCTGTTTGTACAGTTGGAATTTATCCTTTTTTGAGTTTCATTGACTTCTTTGTAATACATGAGGCTCCCCAAGTTACCTATTAAGGCCATTGAGTCAGTTGTTATTTCTGGATATGGTATTTAAGGTTGTATTCAGACAGAGCTCTTATCAAAACAGGTAAATATAGTGTGTATGATCTATGTAACAGGATTCCCTAAGTTTGTGCTCTCTTGGATGGTGAGTGTTCATCTTCAATTTAAAAGTTTAACCACGGTTAAGACTACGCTGCTAGCAATGCGATATGAGACAGTGTCTTTCCAGAGGAGTAATCCCTTAAAAACCAACCAATCAAATGCAGAGAATGCCCCATCCAGCTCTGCTAAATAGAAGCAAATAGCTCACTTCATTGTACAAATAGCTCACTCTACTGAAGAGGAAGACTCAGAAGCTAACCCCTCCCCCATTAAAGAGAAAGTACAGAACAAATTAAAATTAGAACTGAAAAAATCATGACCTGGTTACAAAATACATTAAACGTGATAGTTGATTTTAGAAGCATCTTACTTTTGTACATTTTGATTACTTTTGTATTAATATTAGAAAATTGAAAGAGGATTCACTGTATGTCAGTCATTACAAAAGCTGAAATATCCAAAAGTATATGTGTGACCAATTAAATACTTTCTGCTTTCCTTACATACTTGAAATAAATTTTCTTTTGCTTTTACAAATCTATTTGTAAGAAAGTTTTTATATGATTTTGCTTTTTTATTTAAAAGAAAAAAGGAATATAGCTCAGCCAAAGCTGAGCCATTTGCCCCACACAGTATTAAAAAAAAAACACTGCTCTTACAATCTTATTTTACGAAGTTGTTTTTAAAATTACATTTCATTGTATATTATAGTAGTAAATCAGTGCTCTAAGTGGCACTGCATTTCAGAAAATATAAAAAGAAGTCCCATATCAAGGAATCCTGGCTGAATTTTGAAACAGTGGGAACAGGTGAACGTTCCTAACTACTGAGTAATTCTACAATAGGAATTAGGTTATGAAAGATGTAGAGTCTCTAACCTCTGGAACTAGGTTTGATTCACACTGAGAAAAATAAATGAGATACAATTCAAAGTCTGACCCGCTGGAGAGAGAGATGGTCAAGGAAGGAAAGATCTTCCTGCCTCCCAGAATATCTTCCATCCAGAACCATTTCAAATACATGAGCAACCTATTTTGTTCTCAAAGATATATGAGCAATGAGTATCCTTGGGCTCTTTTGAAATGTGTAAGAGAGTACTGTTTTACAAATAACCATATAGTTACTATTGCCATTTTATTGGGTTGGTGCAAAAGTAACTCTTAAAAAAAAAAAAAAAAAAAAAAGTAAAAAACCGCAATTACTTTTGCACCAGTAGCTCATTTGCCCTTGTTTAGGCTCTAAAGATACAGACCCTTTGATTAGCATCCTTTTTATGAGTCGAGCTAATATACTTTTTGTTATTCAGCTTCAATCACATACTCTGGCAGGTGGCCATAGTACTGTGTCACCTACATCATGGTTCTGCTGCTTGGACCCCAAAGATAATGATACGGAAGAACTCCAGCTTAATTATCTTCTCTTTCCTTTGTATATATAAAGAGTTTTTAGGAATGTAGATTGTCCTTTTGAAATCTGTGGTAACAAATGTGAAGACTACTACATTTTTATTTGAATAGCAAAATAATATTGAAGCCTGGGATCTAAAGAGTTAAATATTCCTTATTTTCTTTTGCTTAATAATGTATTGGATGATTTAGGAAAAAAAAAACTTTTTAATGATGGAATAGTTACCTTATCAATGGGTTGGTCATGGAGAAAAAGTACTGTTTGGTGAAAACAGGCATGTTTGTGACTTTTAAAATGACATTAATAAGCCAGGCATAGTGATGTGCCCCAGTATGTACAGCTACTTGGGAGGCTGAAGTGAAAGGATCTCTTGAGCCCAGGAGTTCAAGGACAGCTCAGACAGCATAGCAAGATCTGTTTCTCTAAAAACAAAAACAAAATAATAAAAATCTTAAAAACAGCTTAAAGATGGTTGGTTTCTTTTGAAAAGGAAAAAAAAAAAATTGCCCTGGTGCTGTGGCTCATGCCTGTAATCCCAGCACTTTGGGAGGCCTCAGGCAGATTGCTTGAACTCAGAAGTTTGAGACCAGCCTGGGCAACCTGGTGAAATCCCATCTCTACCGAAAATGCAAAAAAAAAAAAAAAATTAGCCTGGCATGTTGGCATGCACCTGTGGTCCCAGGTACTCCAGAGGCGGAGGTGGGAGGATCACCTGAGCCTGGGAGGTGAAGGTTGCAGTGAGCCTGCAAGAGATCATGCCTCTGTACTCCAGCCTGGGTGACAGAGCCAGACCTCCTCTTGAAGAAAAAAGAAAAAAAGGCTGGGTGCGGTGGCTCACGACTGTAATCCCAGCACTTTGGGAGGCCAAGATGGGTGGATCACCTGAGGTCAGGAGTTTGAGACCAGCCTGGTCAACATGGTGAAACCTCATCTCTACTAAAAAAAAAAAAAAAAATTTGTTGGGCGTGGTGACAGTAATCCCAGCTACTCAGGAGGCCAAGGCAGAATTACTTGAACCCGGGAGACAGATGTTGCAGTGAGCTGAGATCACATCATTGCACACCATCAGGCCTGGGTGATGAATGAAATTCCGTCTCAAATAAATAAAAATAAAATCACTTTCACACTTGTTTGGAAATCTCTAGAAATTTTGTGGATCGGTTTCTTAAATATATTTATTAAAGGCAGTTTTGAAGTAGTAATAAGGGAAGTTTGTTTACTGTCCATCAGGAAGAAAACCAGAGCAGTAAGCTCTTACTTTTAGTATTAAGATGCGGCTATGAAGGAATAAAAAAATGCCTGCCTTAAAGAGAAATAATGGAATGAGGAGCAATTGTGGTCGAAAAAATAGAAATACAATTAATTTAGAGTCTACTAATTTGTTTTAATCCATCTGGAGTTGAAGTTTACTTCTATGACAAATACTAAAATCTATTAAGATATGAGGTAGAGATCAGACTTTTTAAGAACTTTTAATATTTTTACTATTTGCAAAGACATAACTTCCGTATACATAGTAAAATTATGTATACAATAATTAAGTCCTCTTAGATTCTGTGCTTTGTAATGACAATTATTTATACCTCTAAGTAACAATCTATTTGTAAAAAAAAGTTGTGTACAACACCTCTTGAATTAGAGATCAATTTAATGCATTCTGAGAAATTAGTAAATTTTTTAACATAATTGAAATATTGGGTCTTTTCAGGTGAGTATATGAATACCCTAAACTTTCTTTAGAAGTTCTGGATCCAAGCAACTTTAATATAAAAACCTTGAATTCATTTGTACATGACAAAATGAGATAGCCATGATAGGTGTTGGAGGACTTTTACCCAGTGGAGGAACACGTTTTACTCTGTTGGATTTTTTTTTCTTTCTTTTTGAGACGGTCTCACTGTCACTGAGGCTGGAGAGCAGTGATGCAATCATGGCACACTGCAATCTTGACCTGTTGTGCTCAAGCAATCCTCCTGCCTCAGCCTCCCAAGTATCTGGGGCCACAGGCATGTGCCACCACACCTGGCTAATTTTTAAATTTTTAATTTAATTTAATTTTTTTGAGATGGAGTCTTGCTCTGTTGCCCAGGCTGGAGTGCAGTGGCACGACCTTGGCTCACTGCAACCTCCACCTCCTGGGTTCAAGTAATTCTCCTGCCTCACCTTCCTGGGTAGCTGGGACTGCAGGCGTGTGCTACCACGCAGAGCTGATTTTTGTATTTTTAGTGAGATTGGCTTTCACCATATTGGCCAGACTGGTCTCAAACTCCTGACCTCATGATCTGCCTGCACTGGCCTCCCAAAGTGCTGGGATTACAGGCATGAGCCACTGCGCCTGGCCCAATTTTTAAATTTTTTATAGAGATGAGGTCTAACCATGTTGGCTAGGCCAGTCTCAAACTTCTGGGCTCAAGCAATCCTCCTGCCTGGGCCTTCCAAAGTTCTGGGATTACAGATGTGAGTCATGGCTCCCAGCCTTGCACTGGTCTTATAATTATGTATCTGAAGTTATTGTATATGCCTTCTTGTATATAAGAATGATCACTTCTACATACATTTATTGAAAGGCAAGTTGAGTAAGTGTGACACACATTTTTCACTAGGCTAGACCAACTCATGTCTGTGTTTATGTTGAGAAGTAATTCTATAGATAAGGGAGAATAGCAGACAAATTCAGGATACGAGTGTGCAAAGCTGCATAACAGATTTGTTGATCATGGTATCATAGCACTTTTGTAATAGTGAAAGAAAAGAAAGGGGAAGAAGGGAAATGAAAAAGAAAAAACAGAAAATATTCATATGCCCAGGAAAAGGGTCCTGGAGAGTATGTACCAAAAAATGTTTAAAAACTTGGATTACAGTGGTTTTGCAATGGGTGGTGAGGTCATAGTGGTTTTTGGTTTTGGGGTCTTTTGTGTATATTTAAAAAGTTTTCCATTGATAATTTTTGCAATTAAAGAGTTACTTTAATGGAAATTATAGGTGTAGATGATATGTGGAATGTTTACGCTAGTCACAATTTTTGGTGGAGACAACAGAAATGTACCCTGACCAACGCAAGAAAAAGGCAATTTTTATAAGTCTGTCACAGAGCCAAGGAAAAACAAGTTCCAGGGAAGAATCAGAAGCCAGGAAAGCTGGCAGCCTGGAGCACAGCCAAGATGATCCCTGTCCTAGGTACAGTCTGCAGAGGACCCCGCACCTCACAAGCCATCTCTATCATGTGGACTCTGAACCCCACCGTACCTACAATGATCTCAGCATCCTGCCTTTTTGTGTCACTCCCTCGAGGTTCAAAGCCCTTGGCAAGAAGATTTACAGAATTTACAGATGCCCCAGCTGTCAGAGAAAAAAGATTATCTTCCCCCTTTAGCTACCACAGTGGGATGTGTGACCCTCCCTCCTGTCTATTTTAGGACTGTGCCTAACCCAAGTGTTCTGGTGCTAGGTGACCAAAACCAAAAATCCATGAACACGTTCTAACAAAATAATACTATGAAGGTTTCCTGATGTTCCATATCACTCCCATAATATCTCCCTTCCTCCTCTCTAGTACTTACCAGCAAGACACTGTATCACCTGTTTAGGATCAATGTAAAGTAGAGCTAATACCTGAAATCCCAGTTTCTTTCCAAATGCTTCCCTTTCCAAATTTGAAGCCAGAAGAAAATATATTACTGCTGTTGCCGGTAAGACTTTATCGGCCAGGCACGGTGGGTGACACCTGTGATCCCAGCAGTTTTTGAGGCCGAGGTGGCAAAATAAGTTGAGGTCAGGAGTTCAAGACCAGCCTGCCCAATGTGGTGAAACCCCATCTCTACTAAAAGTACAAAAATTAGTTCAACAGGATGGCGCACACCTGTAATCCCACCTACTTGGGAGGCTGAGGCAGGAGGACCACTTGAACCTGGGAGGTAGAGATTGCAACTAGCCAACACGGTACTTACAGCCTGGGTGACGGAGGCTCAAAGAAAAAAGGCTTTACCAAAGCAGAGCTGGTGATAACCTTAAGACTTGGAAAGGAAATATCCCCAGTAGAAATATTTGATTTTAAATTACAAGGAATTTAGTCCTAAAGGATAATCTACATATTTCATAGATAAATGCAGATACCTCTAGATATCAAATGATATAAGATTTGAGCAGTGATGGATTACTGCTACTGGGTTTCTGTCTGCTACTCTGAGGACAAGTTCAGGCTCAAGTGCAGAACTAAGATGAAGGGTATGAGATTTGTAGTCAAAATCTTCCGGAAGTAGGAAGGTAGTCACAGACAAAGACAGAGTAAGCGTTCATCACAGGATGCGGTCATTGAAGGACAGTTTTGAAGAATAAAAGCTGATCGTGAAACCAATGCAAAAACCATAAACACATTGAAGAGGCCTTTATTCCTGGGAACAAAGAGGAAGGTTATCAAGGATGTGCTTGTAGAAAACATATTAATGCTGGAATATTGTCTTCCTTCCCATCATTTCAGGTCAGTTAGCTACTCAGCTAGAAAAAAGAAATGATGCCCTTGTGAGGACTCTGAGCAATACTGGAATTCAGCTGTTTTGTTTCTAATAAAACATGGTTTAACTGTTACATGAATAGAAGTTTCTTATAAGTGCCAATCACTTCTTTCCAGAGAGGCAGTGCTGAAGATTCTGTTCATTGGTACACTAAGTGTTTTTCATGACCCAGTGTTTTATTTCTTAGAATTTAACTTTTTTTTTCTCAGATGATTTAATGAAAATTATAGCAGTCTGCTCATTATTCAACAAAATCCATTTCCTCTTCTCCCTGAACACAAAGCTTGACTGTGTTTCCTAGATGGCCCTTGCAGTTAGATGGGGCCATGTGACTGGGTGCTAGCAGTGGAAGTGATGCTGCCACTTAAGGGCTTGACAGTGCCACTGCATACTGACGGAGATGCTGTGACCCTCGGAAGCCTTGTCTTTATGAGGTGGACCCCCTCTCAGGCTGTGTCTCTTAGTCATTTCAGCAACCTTTTTACTTGTCGGTGGTGGTAAGTTGTGACTGAGATGGAAACTTTTATGAGGCTGTGCCATTATAGCTTTTATCTGTTACTGTAGCCTGTGCTAGTAACTAATACACTAATAAAGCGTTTTTGGTTTTTATTTTGGTCTTGGTTTTCTATTCATTTGTTTTGTAGAACAACTGTAAATGTGAATATTATATTTCCAGTGTATCTTAGCTTACAGGTTCAAAGCACCATAAAACAGATAAAAGGATTATATTAATAACAAGTACTTAATGAAGAAAAGATCAACGCCAGCGAGTCGATAGAAATAACGTGCAAATATGTTTCTTTCCCCCAAACTTAGTGCTTGGCTCATAGTAAGTATAAAATAAATGCCTCTTGTTTCATCAATAAATAACCCCCCCTCCCAAGCTGCAGACTGACATTTTAATTGCTCATTGGACATTTCCAAACAGCTGTCCTACAGGGACAAACCACGTGACATTTCCAAAACAAATCTCTTCCTTGCCAGCCTCTGCCTACTCTGCCTCCACCAAGCTACCTTTATTCTCCCGACTCTCCTGTTTTGATTAATGGTACCCTTGGAAGGTCCTCTGTTGACTCCCATAACCAAATATTTACCTCATCCTCTAAATTTCCAACCACCTTTCCTCCTGTCAGCCCCACTTTTTCACCTCTCTATCCAAGGAAGCTCACACCCACTTCACTCTTTCTCATGTCTGAATTGGCACCATGTGCCAAGAATTCCCAGGCTTTGGGTTTTCTCACCAATAACATTTCAAAAAAGGATTTAGGACCAACATAGAATTCCCAACTTTTAATTTTGCCAGATAAAGACACTCTTTAAAAAACGTATCTTTTATTGTTCTATAGACTATTTTAAAAATGGTAATGTAGGGAGGACTCAGCTTTAGAATATAGGACACTCCTCTACATTGAATTTAATTTCATGAGAATTCACTACATTGTTCAAGAATGGCTAGTGGGAAACTCTTGTCTAGACCAGCACTGGCCCTGAGGTCCCGATGTGGTCTTGTGGCCAGATGAATGTTTCTGATTTCCAGTTCCAGTGCTCCTCCAGTCAACAACAGCCTCTCTGATTCTCTGTGGCCTGCTCTCCCCTACCTGGCATTAAATTCCCAAAAGAAGACCTCACACTACCTTTCCAGTGTTGTCTCTAATTTCCAGGCAAATTAGATCTTCTGTTTTTCCTTTTTCTTTTCTATCTTTGACTATGCAGTTCTTCCACCTGTACACTCCATCATTTTTTCTCCACCACTCAAAATTCTACCCCAAATTTAAGACCGCATTTGATACCATTGCCTCCATGGAAACTTTGGTGATCTGCTTTGGCCACACAGACAATAGCTTTCCTCTCCTTGAACTTGCTTATTATACACTGTAAGGTAGAATAAGTGGCCTCTTTCCACATGCTGTGCTCGTTTACCTCTCCCGCAAAATTACAATAAATCCTTGAAGAGAAGAAAAATGTTGGATTCATTTTTTATTTGAACATGAAATATTCAATATCTATTCGATGACTTAATACTTTCAACATAGTGAGCGCCAGACTTTAAAAAGTATCTTTGAAACATTTAAATAACCTTAATCTTCAATGTCAAGTAAATAACAATAGAGTACTGGGGAAACAGATTGCCAAGTAACTTTTTTTAATTCCGGGTTCTAGGACCGTAACACAGAGGCTTTTCTACTATAAACATTTTATTTTAGGCCCCTACCCAGGAATTGTCTTGTCTTTTATTTTAGACTCCTAACCAGGAATTGAATTGTCTTAAAAGGCAATTTGTAGGAGAAATAGGAATTACAGATCTTCTTAACTCTGATCTAATTTTGTGCACAAGCCATTTTTAGTGAAGGTACTTGTGCACAGCTTTTTATTCCTTTAGGTTTTGTATTCATCAAAAAGCAAGAAGGAATGGGATGACAAAATTCATCTATTTCCCTCCTCACTTTTGAAGGAAATCTGAGCACTTGTATTTCTATGTTCTGTCTTGACCAAATAAGTATATTTTTCTTTTGTTCCTTTTTTTTTTTTTTTTGGTCTTGGTTTTCTATGCATTTGTTTTGTAGAACAGGCTGGAGTACAGTGGTGTGATCTTGGCTCACTGCAACCTCTGCCTCCCAGGTTCAAGCAATTCTCTGCCTCACCCTCCTGAGTAGCTGGGATTACAGGCCTCCGCCACCATACCCAGCTAATTTTTGTATTTTTAGCAGAGACGGGGTTTCAACATCTTGGCCAGGCTGATCTTGAACTCCTGACCTTGTGATTCACCAGCCTCAGCCTCCCAAAGGGTTGGGATTACAGGTGTAAGCCACTGCACCTGGCCAGAAATATTTCTTCCTATAGTGTCCTGTTATTACAACAATCAATATTGGCTGGGCACGGTGGCTCTCAGCAGTGAGCTGAGATCGTGCCATTGTACTCCAGCCTGGGAGACCAGCAAAATGTCTCAAAAAAAAACCAAGAAAATTAATATGTATGTAAATTTTAAAGTTTTACCCCAATTATATGAATAATAGAAAAGTCCACAAAGATTAGGTCAAACATATTCTATCTTGTTATTACATGTTTTATGGAAGGTATGAAAATAAAAGACAGAACCCTATAAAAATGTAAAATTTTCTGGGCTCCAAGTACTGACCAGGAAAATACAATTTAATTTATAATCTGAATTTTAGTCAGAGCATGTGGTAAGAGGCTTTTATGTGTCGCTGTGCACTACAACTAGAGATGAGAAAAACATACTTTTTAAAAAACATTTATTCCTGCGGTGGGACCCCTTAAGCCCTGAGGGGGTAACAGTCTGTTCAAGAACACCTGGGTTATGAGTGACAGCCTGCTGTTTGTTCAGATCACAGGCATAAAACCAAACTTTGAAGTGGGTTCTTCTCATCAGCTTAAGCTTTCTGTTACCAAGTAGTCATCTCCTTCAGTGAAGCTTGCTGGGTACCCTGCTGCTGCCAAGCTGTGGACCCTCTCAGCCAGTCATATGGAGGATGACAGCATGGATCTCATTGACTCAGATGAGCTGCTAGATCCAAAAGATTTGAAGAAGCCAGATCTGGCTTCCCAGTGGGCTGCTTCTTACGGGGAAGGGAAAAAGAGGAAGACCTGCCAGAGCTGACCCTGTGGCCTTGCTGAAGAACTAGAAAAACAGAAGTCAAGGAAACAGATGAGTTCCCAACCCAAGTCAGCTTGTGGAAATGGCTACCTGGGCGATACTTTCCGCTGTGCCAGCTGCCCCTATCTTGGGATGCCAGCTGCCCCTACCTTGGGATGCCAGCCTTCAAACCTGGGGAAAAGGTGTTTCTGAGTGATAGCAATCTTCATGTCCCAACATGGGACATGTCTACTCCTCTGGCCAACTCCTGTTTCTTAAATCCCACCACTGTGGCTCCTCCCACCTTCTCCGGATTAGTCCTCTGTTTGAGATCCATTTGCAAAATGGGTGCTTAGCAGACGTAGTGAAACTGGCTGGGGGACACAGTGGTGTGTAGTACGGCTCTGCATCAAAAGACCAAGGTATTATGGGGCCCAGTTACCCAGGATGGGCTGGGTTTCTTCACCCTGTGTTAAGAGAAGGGAGTGTGTCCTGAAGAAGCCCTTCTCTGGATGTTAAAATGCTGACCAGAATACTCTTGAACCCAGACATCCTTGAGCATCACTATTGTGATAAAGCTCCAGGTCCTGACCCCTAGTCTAACCTCGGCAATGCTTTCACCTACTTGTCTTTCAGAGTTGTTAGTTTACTCCATTCTTTGTGACATGGTCAAGTGTCTCATGATCTCAGGGCACCAGAGGAGTCACTCAGTAGTTGCCATGATGATATCCAATGTCCCTCTGCCCCCTTCCACCCCCAGCCCCATTTTACTGTAGCATTGCATCTGTGTCTTCTTGTCGTTTCTGTTAACCTTCAGGTTTTAAACTTGCTGCATATCTTGAAAATAAGTAAATAAATAGAATAAAAATGTTTGGAAATATGTACAACTTCGATACAGTTTCAGGGTGCTCCGGAGACCCATGGCCTCTTCATGTAAAACACTGACAATTTCTAGAGCACTTTGAGAGACTACACTATGATCATGATCAAATTTTGTAATTAAACCTAATGAGGGCAATGGACACTTCCCAAACAAGAGATGTGTCAATTTGGGCATGTGAGGGCTAAATTTAAATAGACGCTGCTAGTACAAGATTCAACATTCAGAGAAGAATATAATCTAGAGCCCATCCACTGTATCACTTACTATATCCAGCATGCAAAAAAAAAAAAAAAAAAAAAAAATCACTGAACATGCAACAAAAAAAGAAAAAGGAAGAAACAAAAATCATGAGATAAAACAGTAAAAGAAGCAGACCCAGAGATGATTCAGATACAAGTTAGTGAACAAAGATTTCAAAATAATGATCATTAGTATGTTTAAAAAATTAGAGGGAAAGATGGATAACATGGATGAAAAGATGAAGTACTTTTTTAATTTGAATTTATCAATAGGAATCAAATGGACATTTTAGAAATGCAAGTTGAAATATCTGAAATTAAGAACTATTTGAATGGTTACAGCACCAGTCTAGTTT